TACACTTATGTTACAAGCTGTTCTTTGCTTACAGAATTAATCTGCAGATACAAAAATACACTTTTATTAAACTGAATGCAATTTTCCATATAAAACATATATTACTAAAAGGAAACATAAAGCCAAATATTGTAAACAAGCAAACCCGACTATGCAATTACACTACATAGACATACATATTAATTACAGCATTGAAGAAATTAAACTGTACCAGTCTTGGGAGTGCCATGCCAGTAACTGAGCATACAAGTTTGACAGTCTGACCATAATGTATGTAGCCATCTCTCACTGTGAATTCTTCTCCTTCTGATTCATCATCATCCACTGCATGAAACAGGAATTTTCACATTATTTGTTTTATTCACTGTTTACCCCAATAGGAGGAACATTTAACATCCCACTATTTCATCAGAAATACACTCAGTAAGAAAACAAATCCACATATGGGCAAGTAATAGGGAGGAAAAAATGCAGGACTTTCTTTTTTGTGGGGATGGAGGAAGGGAGGTGAAAATACACATTGCTTCATTTTTACTTACAGAGGTGAATGTAAAACGCTCCCCACTGCTGTGAACTGGCATGGAAATTACCACCTTCTACGTGCAAATATCTGGTGCTAACTGTTTGGGATCGAAGTCTATTAAATAGTGCCACTTTTGTCCCTGACGCAATACATACTGCAAGGAACACATACAGACTCGAGATTATAAAATTACTTCATTATTACACAGAAAAATAACAAAAAGTCACAAATACAGTAAAATAAACTGATGAAATTAAGAAATACTTCTCAACCATTGGTAAATATAGAAAATATTTATATTTGTGACAGATCAAAAATAATCACAAAATTACAAGTGGGTAACATACATAGTGGCTGTTCTCCAAAGGCATGCAAGTTCACGGAATTTTGCCACTTAGCCAAATGGGCCAGTGCTTGCCAGCTGAAAACTCCTTCTGTTCCTAGTTCTCCAATAACTGATTATTTGAGCTTAAGCACTAACTTGCCCTTGTGAAGTACTTCAACAACTTTCAGTGATCATTCAGAGGTATGAAGTATAAAGAAATTATTCATACAAATCACAACCAATTGAAAGGAAGACAGACATAACTATGTAGAACAGTAACCATGCAACTTGACATTTTCTCATATCTGAACTTACTTATCATTCAAGAGAGAGACAATGCTAAGTCTGCTCCCCTGAAAAAATCTGCAACTAGCATTTTGCCATTAAAACAGGCTTGTTTCTTCTACTTCATATTTATTATCAAAGAATGCTTAGTTCATATTCACTGTCCATCAAAAACTATCTGTCTGAACACAAAGTCAAGAGTGCATACTCTGAGCCCACGCGCGTGAACTGCACAGCAATAGATTGCCTTTAGTCATGTGAGAAGCTAGTGCCCTGAGATCCACATTCCTCAGGTGAATGGGTTCCAGCCCAACATAGATGGAAGAGCCTTTTAAAGCACTAGTGAAGAGAAAGAAAAACAAAAAAAAGGGTATCTCCTGAGGTGCTCCAGTGGTATGGAGGCAAAAAATTTGAGGGAAAAGCAAAAATGCTCCCAATTATACATCAGAACCAGAGCTATCTTTATTTGAAAAAACACAGTAAGCAAATAAATCTGGGTAAGCTATCACCAGATTATTTCTTGACCAATTACATAAAAGAAACTACGGAAAACATATTAAAAATAAAAACAACATGCAAAGGGCATGAGATAGTAAGAAGGTGGCTGTGATGTGACCAAGTGCAGTTTGGCTAATGTGATGCTATTCATTTATCACAATCTGAAAGCTATCTCTTTGAAACTGATCAGACCATCCTAAGCACCACATCATGGCATCTTAAGAGATCTAACAGCTTAGAAAACCGAGGTAGAGCATTCTTTATGCATTTGTCTACAAGAATTCACTCCTCAGAATAGTTTTTTGGTGAACTTTTTATATTTACTAAATAATTAACTGTGACTGCATAAAACTCAGTGTAGTCTATATTGGAATACACTAAAATACACTGATGTGTTCAGTTCCGAAATACATTAGAAAAAACAGAAATTGAAAATTCCATTGTATTTACTTTGCAGTAAGACCTCAGAACATGTAAGAAAAAGCAGAGCAGGAGGCAAAATGAACTGCTACATAAAGAATTGTAAAATACTTACAGTCTGCATTTTTCAGTGACTGTTTCTTTTTAGAAGGTTTGGAGATGACTTTGATCCGTTTACTGAGGAACACACCGATGTCGTCACTATTGCCGTAGAACATTTTTACCGATAACATGAAGTGCTTTCTCTTGTCTGAGTCTGATATGTATAATGTTTTGGCAGTGCAATAATTCTGTAGGTGAAAACATACTGTTGTTTCTTCAAGTCAACCCAGTTTAAGAAACTACATGTATTTAATTATGAACAAAATAGGAAAACTGATGCAAGAGTTTCTAAACCAGATCAGAAACTGCTTTTTCAATCTCTTCCGTATGGATACCTTTTATGACTACTGTTTAGCTTTGTGAACTTTAGCACCCGACTTCAGTGCCATTCTAAAGACCCTTATCAGGACTAGAAATCAGATGATTAGAGACTATAGCTGTGTCAAATCCATTTCTGAGTGATCAAGAGCAGTTGTAAAAATTACATTTGAGTAGAGCTATACGGGTAGCGAATAAGAGGCATAGATACTTGGGCATGCACAAGAGGCTGCCTGTGCAGTAAAAGTGTTCAGCCACATTTTTCTTGAAAGAATGGGAGGTTTTGAAATATGAGGAAGTTACTTTTGGCTAAGTGTTACATGCTAGTTGACAACAGGAGCTTCAAAAAACATACCTCAAAAAGAACTTTTATTATTTTCCCTATTCAGCAATACATGAAGCATTTCTAAGTAGACTGGTTTGGAAATAGTAGGTAGCTATAAAATACTGCTTAATAAAAAAACCAGCTAAAATGAGCACTCACATGCTTCCAGTTTTATTCCAACTGTTTAAGTCATCACAAATAACATATACTTTTTTTGACAGTAATTCATATCACTGTAAAAAAAAAAAAAAACAAAAACAAAAACCAAAAGACAACCCTACTAAATTTAAGATGCTATTTTATTGTATATTTATGCAAAGGGTCTTAAAACCCACTTCTGCCAGCAGATGCTGTTCAAATACTTCTTTGTTAAGATTATCCATTCACATAAGCCAGAGAGAATGACATAGTTTGGGCCAGAAATTTTACTTCAGTTAACCACTGATGCCTACCAAATAATCTAACAGTTTACTGACTCTGAATCAATAACCCACACATTAAAGGTTAGTACCCTGGCATGATGCCGTGAACCAAATCCACTTAATCAATTGTCCTACATATTTTTGACAGATTTTTTTAAACCTCTCATGTAGTAGCTGCTAGAGTGTAACAAAGTTATCGAAAATAAGCAAAAGTATTCTTATATGCACCATGTAGCTATGGTATCTTTTGCAGTAATCTGAGTGGTTTATTACGATTCTTCTACCTTTCCTTCCAAGTTCAGCTGTTGCATTTCTTGGTCACTGTTCCCTATTCCAATGAAGGCGCAAGGTTGTGACTCTTGCTCAGTGCAACCATCCCGTTCCATTTGCTCTTTTTTTTTCTTCCATCCACTGCCCATAAGATACACACACGGAGGAGGACAAAAGAACCTGAAAATGAAAAACACATTGTGAGATTACACACAGCTTTCAAGAAAATTCTTGAGACACAAACTGTTGTGTACCCAAAGCTTTCTCAGCCCAGTCACTCTTTCCATTTAAGTTTATACATGCATGACCTTCATTTCCCTGAAGATTTTCTAAAATACAAATAAAAAAAAGAGAAAAAACAAAGAAAATCAGCATGAGATGCAGTCACTATCTTTCCAGTTCAAAATAAGATATGTAACAGTCTTCATCTCTATAAAACAAAAACAATTTCTACCCTTAGAAAGAAGAGATTCTCAAAGAAAGTAAAAAGGCCTTGAAAGCGATGACTGCGTTTTGCTTTTATACGTGCTTAATACAACGCACACAGAACAATTTCAAACTAATTTAATGGACACCTGCTGACTGTAATTCCTAAACACTTGGTGTTTCATCATTAGCAAGGAGGCAGCCTATTTCATCAAAGCATAAATCTCTTTCAGTTTTTAAATGGAATACATGTTACATCTTCACAGAATCACAGCATAGTTTGGGTTGGAAGGGACCTTCAAAGGTCACCTAGTCCAACCCCCCTGCAATGAGCAGGGACATCATCAACTAGATCAGGTTGCTCAGAGCCCTGTCCAACCTGGCCTTGAACGTCCCCAGGGATGGTGCATCCACCACCTCCCTGGGCAACCTGTGCCAGGGTTTCACCACACTCATTGTAAAAAATTTCTTCCTCGCATCCAGCCTGAATCTCCCCTCTTTTAGTTTAAAACCATTAGTCCTCATCTTAGCATGATCAGAGGCATCTCCCTGGGATAGCAACAGCCCACTGTGGAGCCTTGCACCAAAGCACAGGTGACCAGGCTTTTTCAATTACTCTACAGCACTGACTGAAATCAATCTAAAGGCTACTTACAGAACATGTTCAAAATAAATGCAGCATTATAATACAGTGTATTGGTCATTAAGTTTCTGCGAATTATCAAAATGCAAATCCTAATCCCTTCCTAGTACAATTTTTTGATCTCAAAACCAGGAATGCACTTCCTGCTTTTCAACTGCATTTATTTCAAACAGTACAGATGATACGACCTAATTTTGCCCAGATGCTTCTTTAAAGGAAAAATGATCTTAAGAGCACTTATTTTGGTGAGGGAGACACTGCAACAATAATGGTCAAAATAAAAAGAATAATATTAAAGTATAAGGTGCATGTTACTTTCTGTATGACCAATCTCATTTATATGCCCTCTGTCACCTGATGTAAATACCATAATTGTCATCTGGTTGCTGCAACTTTCAGCATGTTTTAGGAGAACAGAAAACTGAAACAAAGCAAGAAATAACTGCTTTAGCATCAGACTGAGGAAATGTCTACTGCAGACAACTGTGATCACATTAGAAAAAAATACACAGATATATAATGCAGATGGGAAGGAAACAAGAGGGTAAGAAGGACTCACATTTTTATTAGACTGGTAAGGGGTCAAGGAAGTGCAATGATCATGCCCAAGCACTGCTCAGGAGGCCTACTCTACTTTGCCATTCCAGATAGGGGAAACATGATGGTGGTCCTCTATGAACAACACTTTTCAAATAGGGGTTATGAACTAACTCCCAGCTTTTTGGGGAGGAAACTTCAAGTAAAAGATCTTTTGGAAACACACTCATATTGCCAGAAAAAGCACACCATACAGCTAGTTGGCTTATGAACTCCAGTGACAATGCAAGATCCTTTCAGTGTTAATAGACTAACTTTCTTCTTACAATTATAAGGTATTTCAAATAAGAAATTATATACAGACTAAAGATCAATACCAATCTTTATTAAGAGAGCAATACTTTGCAATAAAAGAAACCAGACTCCTTGTCTTCCAAGTAGGTATAACACCATAAAGCCAACATCACACATTTACGTTTCTTCCTCATGTACTCTTTTGTATTTTTCTTAATGTTAGAACAGAAGAAAAAAACAACAACAAACCCTCAAACTTTTTCATGTCATTTTTCATTACAGCTTTATTACAAACCAAATCCTTTGAACAACTATGGCCACTAGATGGCAATGAAGATCCAGGAGAAACGAATTTTAACCCACTAACAAGAGAGAAAACGAGCTACAACAATTAAAGCGCTCTTTTTAAATTAGAACAGAGAGAAAAATCTTGGAAAACTATGGCTTACTGAACAAAGAAAGAAACTTTTTAAGCTGAGACAATTTTATGTTTGAACTACCAAAACAAGAGAGAAAAGAGTCTGGACATCCACAATTGGAATGGGTTTCCTTATGTGCAGCCTCCTAAGCTTCAGATACAGACAAGTACAGTCTCAGGGCTTTTTACTTCATATTTACAAACCCAGGAACTCATGTACAGAACAGATTAATTATAATTTTTCTATCCAATATAGTGTGAGTAAACCATGAGTATTTCTGATTTTCACAGATGATTAAAGAAAGTGTCTTTGATATGTATAAAATAACTACTGGAAGCAGGTTCTCTCATTAATAAAATATTTTTTATGTAAATACGAATGTAAATGTTTATGTGAGAAGCTGGCTTTCAGATAACTACAATGAGAGAAAAAGAAAATCACCTCCCTAAAATAGCTTAATTTAGGTAGTTTCCAGTATTACTGATGGGAAATAAAATAGGACAATGTTTGGTGGAACAAATGAAAACACTCTTCCTTCAACCTTTGATTTACAGGGCCTACCTCTCTCTCCTTTAACCACAAAACTAAAATAAGACTGAGTAGGAGGTAAAAATTCTTCTGAAGTATTAATTTGACCTACAGTAAAAAGAAAATCATGTTGGAGGGAAAGGCAGCTGTGTCTGGTTCTTCTGAGCTTGCTCAGAATATTCAGTACAAGAAATAATGCTGGAAAATCATGTAGGATGTAATTTCCTCACTGCGTTTATAACACATTCTCTTAATACCTCTTTTCTATGCCATGAGCAGAGTGGCAATTCCTTGCTGAACATGCAGTAAAACAACACAGGACCTTATTGTTAAGTGTTCACACTGTTCAGATTCTGAAAAGTCTCAGTGAAAGGTAAATATGGAAATAGTGTAAGAAGCACAAGCCAAACACCCACACTCATCAGGACTAAACATCAACTGAGTATAAGCTGAATGCTTTTGAAAGATAACAGCCATCCAACAGGAAATAGGCAGAAAGTCTTAAATTCAACTGAAGTCCACCCCAAGCTTCTTACCTCCTGGCTTCTTTGTCAAACTAAACAACACTAACTTTGAGAAGATTAAGGCTAGCAACAGTAGTCCACTTAAAGAAAGCGGACATCCTGTCATTACTGTTATTTACAGACAAGTACCAAGAACACTCTAAAACTAATTCAGAAAGTGTCCATCCACATGGCAGCAACCTGGAACTGTGTTTCTGTGAGGCCTATTTAAACCAGATCACACTACATGAGACTGCACCATGTACAGCGAGTTTTCAACAGAGTATTTCACCATACTAAGCCTCACCAGAACACTGAAAGGTAGTTATTGTGCTAACCTTATAATTATGCCATGCAACATTTACTAATGATAAATATTTTCCATGACCTCACAACAAACTAGGTTTAAAGACTGGAACAAAAGGAGGAAGCTTGTTTAGGGTTCTTTTTTTTAGGTTCTATGTTGAAAGACATGTCATATTTAAGAAGTAATTCCTTTTGTAATGTGACTTCTCAGTTACAAAGATAGTGCAATTTAACTTATTCTTCATGGTTCAAAATTTAACTAGATTATATCCATGCCATAATCAAGTCCCATGGAAAACATGAAATTTCTCCATAAAACCAGGTATGAAATGGGTTTCAGTTGATAAAGCAGACGTATGCAAAACAACTCCCTTCAGAAATGGTGTTTAATGCAAAAATGGCAAAAACTTGATTTACCAGCTGCACAAAGCAGCCTTAAACCTTTCCTAATTTTGCTCAGTCCAGCAATATGAAGAATGAAAGGTTCTGCTATGAATAAACCAGAAGCAATTAAAAAAGTAATAATAAGAACTAATTCATTCAGTTTCACTAAGTAACTTAGGGCACACATGGATGCAAGGATTTGATAACTGGCATTTTTCTTTATGCTGCTAACAACAGGACATCATTTCTGATGCTTCCAGTATGGGAACTGGCAGAACAGCACCACGGACAGTTTAAATGGTGAGTTAAAGCATAAGAAAAACTAAAATATTTAAACAGGAAAATGAATCTTAGTATGTATTCCCAATTTTCATTTCACACCCATACCAGAATGTCAATCAGTTCACCATGGCAAACATCCAATCATTTTCATTCCTAGTTATCTTTTGTTGAGTTGTAAAAATCTCCAGACCCATTGGACATGCTTCCATTTTTAAAGAGCTGAATCTGAGATACCTTTTATGAACAAACGCAGCTGTGCTGAGATAGCCACTGAACTGCACCTCCTAAAATCTAAAGTGGTAAAAGAATGCCTAATGTCAGTCAGAAATTGTTTCAAGGAGCAGGAAACCAGTAACTAGTTTACTGAGCATTACTAGTACTTTGGTAACATACGTGCCAAAGTGACTTTTAACAGCATCAAGTGAAGTATACACATATATTGAGGGCAACAGGAATTTATGGCAGTTCTATGAATTACACATAGGAGCTTTCAGAAACTGTTAGCAAATAACAATTTGAAGCTTTGCTCTGTATTCTTTAGAACACTTATTTAAGTTTTCCAAACTGTAATGGAACTTTGAACAATCAAAATTACATACTTTATCTTTTTATTTTCTCCCTTCTTTCAATGCAACTTGTTCACCAAAATAATGATACACAGGACAGCTCTGCAAAATGTTCCTGCCCTCATGAACTGCTGTGGCCCCTGGAGAACAAATTGAAGTTACAGATACACTGTTTAGAAAAATTACTGTCTTGTCTGCAGGCACACCCCTCATTTTTTGGGAGTAATACACTTTACTCATCTGCAGTAATAAGTCAACTATTCAACTCTTGAATGACTACACAATATACAAGATTACAATCAGAAACCTCTATACTGCCATGATAAATCTTCTTGGCTGCAAAGGGTTAAAGTTATCATTTACTACTTAGTAGGGCCTTGCACTGCAGTGCTTTTGCATTTAAGTTTGGCAGTGAGCAAGAATGCTTTATAGTTATACAGCAGATATGCAGCATACTTGTCTGCTTCCATGCCTTTCCTCCTTCCTCTTTTGCCGACTTTCCATTTGATTCTCATCAAGAATTTGAGAAAGATCTAAAACGCACTTTGAATTAACAGTTCCATGGAGCTGCAGAATCTGGATCCTGCCCAAAAGAAAGGGCTAATAGAAAGGACCACACATACTGAAAAGACAAGCAGTCAGGCACAGAATACTGAAGAACAGTTGAAAATATAGTCTGCATCTCTGATTCATGGACATCAGGAAGTGTGATTTAGATTGGCAGCAATGAATGGAGAACTTTGCAAGCTTAATTCTAACATTCCCATTTTGTAACACTTTCATGTTCAAGTATGTTAAAATATCAAATCTCAGAAAACTGTGAAAAACAATGATGTAACTGGACACAAGAGTGGCAAAAGTAAGGTTAAAACTTCAAAACTATTAATGTACTGAATACATGGTCTTTTGTGATGAACAAATATTAGAAACAAAAAGTATCTGAAACCTAACGAAATACCGTACTGCTTATTTTAGTGAAGTCGAAGGTAGAAAAATACAACTTAAAATTCTATTTTACCATGAGAGGACTAGAAATCTGCATCTGAAGGACTGTCCTATTCGCTTCTACTAGTCATGAAATAAAAATATCACATAGAGAAGACTGCAGGAAATTCACCTGCATTTATCCTCATATTTACAGATTCCATCCTTTAGAGAACTAGCTATTATTGTAATTTGTACTGTACTGATTTTTACAAGAGAATGCTAAAGAACCATAAATATGGTTATGATTGACCTGTCATTATTTTAAAGCTATTACAGATCTGATTCAGAAGAGTATCTTAGCAAGGCTGGCAATTTCCCTTTCATATTAATTTGTAATTGCTCAAGAAAAACCTCCTCTACAAATAGTCACCATTAATCACCTTGCTTATTCCAGACTTAAAATGGAAGGTTTACAATTAGAGCCATTTTAGTTCGATGGAAGAAAAACCACAGATAGAGAACCTGTTGGTAGAAACAGACATCACTACATGGGATGCCACAGGTTTGCAGCTTTTGTTACATAATTAAATGATTACAAGCACACATTTTGGTTTACCTTTCTTCAGGCTATAGTGTGATCTGAGGAATTCTGCAACGTACTACACACCAGACTACATCCTATAGTTTCCCTAGCTGGGAACTCTAGAGGAAGCCAGCAAAGAATAGACTTACCTTTTTTCATTTCCATACGACTTCTGCGCAACTTTTGCATGAAGTATTAGCACTGTTTGATCACCTCGCTCCTTCAGGTAATTTCGCATTGCTTCCCTAAAAATTGAAAGACAAAATAAGCTTTGAAAATTCATTAGTTTTGTTTATAATTATAATAATCCCATGAAAATTTTTAGACAAAACCCCCCAACACCTGAAGTTCAAAAAAGGCAACCATTAATAACATTAAGATGAGTTTGTTTTGGTTTTTAAGACAATCACACAGCAAAAAGAAGCAACTCTCTTGCATGAAGCTAGCAGTAAGGGTCTGTGGTCATTTACAATTACCACATTTTCCAGAACAGATGCTTGTGATGTAAGATCACATTAATGCCAATCACTACACCATGTTCAAAGTCCATGCCACAAATATTTGATTAGAACACACTTTATTAATTCAATAGTCTCCTTAACCAATTTAGATACTAAAAAAAAGTTAAGACTCTCCAGCTTATCGTTTGATCTAGTTTTCTAGAGGAAGTCTCTACTTCCTGCATACAATTGGGTAAAAAAAAAAAAATAATTAGATTTTCTATCGTTCAACATCACTGTAATGACAGATGTCATACAAGAGCTGTAGTTACCTCAAACACACCAACAGTAATTCCTTGAGAGAAGTAAGAGAACAATACACCCTATCATTCTTCTGTATAATAATCTAACTGTTCATTAAGCAGCATGCCAAATTCAACACCCTGCGGTTTAGCTGTGTCGGAGTGCTGACAGGAACACTTTTAAGTCCCTGGAGAAGCTTTTGCAGGTTGAATGCCCACCAATGTGCTCATCTTCAAAGTCATCAACAGAGAAGCAAATTATGAATTTAAAGGAAGTTATATGAAGAGATGAAACCCAACAGAAGAGGGATTTTTTTGTTGTTATTGCTTTGTTTGGGGTTTTTTGTTGTTGTTTGGGGTTTTTTGTTTTGTTCTGGGTCGGTTTATCTGTCCGTTTGGACAGATTTAGAAAACCAAACATTTCCAGTGATAAAAAGATGGAATATTTTAGATGGAAGCAGTATTTTACTGACAAGACCTTTAAAAAAAAAAATCCCCACATACAGTTTCACAGGGGAATGCAAGTAGGTGGGGGGGTGTTGGACAACAACAACAATCCAGCTTTGCAAATGACGTTTTGCAAATTCTTGCATTTGTCATGTCTGCATAAGACAGTGATCAATGTGTGAAATTATCTCTGTAAACAGCAAAGACCTATGCTTCTATGGTAAAACTGATGTTTATCCATGAAAGCACAGATGGAAGATCTATCCCAAAGCATACAGACTTACTTTTATTTACAACCACTGTTTAAGAATACATTTTAAACCACAAAGCATAATTCACTGTGAAATCATTATTATACATTTCATTATTATATATATTAGCTTCATGTAAGTGGTTTAAAAACTTTCTATCTGACAATTTGAAAGACTATTAAGAATACTGTAATAGTAAATTTAGGACATCTATCATACTAAAAACTTTTGACTTGACTATCATTTAAAAAAACACCAGCAACCCACTCACAAAAATGCTAGGTGCTAGTTAATGTTTATTTAGCACTGTATGAGGATGAAACTCTGTGTTTTCTACTCGTCTGTTGTTATGGTGGCCTTGTACAATCCAATCTCCTAGGACAACTAGGAATGTTCCCCTCAAACCCCTCCCACTGATAAAGAAAATACACAACCACTGTAATTCCTACACAACATTTTCCTTTTATTAAATCTTAAAAACTCTCTACGAAGGTAGTACTCTCACAGTTTACACCTAAAACCAACTAGCACAGTATGAGCAAAGTAGCGCTGTTCTGCTGGAACTTGCATGACGATAAACAGATTATCAGACAAACAGGACTGCCTTTACACAAAGAGGCAGAATAATTTCCCAATAATTGAACTAAAAGCATTTAAGGGTTTACAGATACATTTTTTTAGCATTACATAAACCAATCATGCTCTTAAAAATGTGTGTAAAAGTTTTTCCATTTCAGCATTGTTTGTTTCCAGCCTCTAGCAGTATAGAAAAGGTTTACAAGCCACTGAAGGATGGCTAGCAGTTCCCAGCTGCCTACTCACAGGAAAGAGTACCTGGCTTATCTAGTAGCTAAAATCCTGCACATGAAATTTAGAGTCACTACAGTTAATAGAAAATTTATTTAAATGACCTTACACTAAATAGTCATTATTTCTGTTGTTGTTTTTAAATCATAGAAGATAAATTCTGTCAGTAACTTCACAGTGATACTAAACAGATGTTACCACTCAAGATGGAAACCAGTCCATTACTTAAAACTTAAATATCCTTAAATATCCCCAAAAATAGGTAGGCTAATAGGGAACAGGAAGGTTTGTTCAATTACTTATAAGTCAGCATAGATAAATTTTGCACTGAAATGAAGTTTAACAATACACAAGCTAACCTGAAGCTTACCCAGAAACATGATGAGGCAGATACCCCTAACACAAAATGTAAATGCTCCTCCCCATCCTGAGCTTTACATGAGGCAGCATAATTTCATTCAAAACATAAGCAGGCCAGAGTGATGTCTTTATACAGCACCATTACCGCACAAAACTATTGAAAAAATGCACACCTATTGTACTTCAAGCAGATAGTACATTATAAACTCCAGAGCTACTTTAAATCACACAGTTTGTGGCACAGAATAACAAATATTTGCAGACTGTGTTACAAGGGTGACTACCTGACAGCTTCTGGTGTAAATACTTCCAGGTAGACCAGGAGCAAATCAGCCTCTGCAATCACTCTAAACACTTTTCAGAATGGATTGACCTGATGTTACTAATTGATGCCCTCTCTGACAGTTTCGGTTTCACCAAAAATTGGTTAAGATCACTCCTTGACAGTACTGTGTTCATTCTGCTTCTACCTGCTGCATGACAGCAGTAACACAACTGAATTTTGGCAGTAAAAAGTGTTATTTCATATGACTTCACAAGACACTTTCACTCAAGTAAAGAAATCCAGCTCATTCCTGGTGATTTAAAACGAAGATTTACAGATTCACATGTTACTGAATCAATTACAATAACTGAAATGTGAAGTCAACAGCATTTGACTAAGATTTACAGATTCACATGTTATTGAATCAACTACAATACTGAAATGTGAAGTCAACAGCATTTCTCAAAATGCATTTTGAGTATTATATTAAAAACAAGCCACTAGCTGTTCAAAATTTTACCTCTGGCTGCTGACTGCATACAATAGAAGCTCTGATATTTAAAGTTCTAGCATTAGCAAGCCAGATTGTTTAAACTTAGAAATCCTTCTGAGAATGAAAAGGGTAACTTTAGAAAACTGTTAAAAACAGACTTTCTTTGATGCTTACCTGGTGAGCCGTTTCGGTTGAGGTCGCTCTCCAAATTTCCTGAAAAAGAAGAATATGCTAATTTAAAAGTGCTTAGTTATAACTTTACAGTGAAATACTATCCCAATTTTACAATTTTTGAAAATGTATTGGAATTCGGTGTCTTTTCATTGTAATTTCCTATTAAAGGTTACTATTAAAATATCGACCACCTCCTAGCAATAGCCTTTCCAACAATAGCAGAGGGGTTTCTTTTTGTGGAACACTGGATAACTTCCTTTGCTAAAGTCACATTTACATTCTCTCTGAATCAGTTTGAAAAGTTCAGATATCGCAAGTATGTAAATAGCCAAGAGATCTTTGCCATAGCCTTGACCAGAAGTCCCAACAAAAAGTAGTTATTATCACCATACAGAAATCAACAGACTAATCTTCAAGTTGACAAATCATAGTGAATGCTTCCCATGAGGACAATTCCTCATAATCTGCTTATCCTTAGTGACTTCTTACAAAAATGATGACAACATATTTCATACGTGCTTGTACAGAATTATAAGAAACATCTCTCTCGCGGAATGTAGCCAAGCACAATCCAGAAACAACTCATTATATGCTTAGTTTTTTAGCCATAATGCATAGTATGTTCTGAGGCAGCTCTATGTCTTCCAAAGCTTTAACACTGTTCGTGACAGAGAGGATGCTTCTTACACTCAGTTAAGACTTTCCACAAAAGTCTTTATTTACATAAGACACTGAGTTTACACACGACAGAAACATTTTCATTAACAAAAACATCCTCAGATTAAACCAAAATGGTAAGGTGAAAGACCTGAAAAAAGAAAGGTTCTACCCTGCAATGTACATCTGCAACGTACATCTGCTCAGCCTGGCACGGAAATACAACCACAGCTAAAATGAAGAAAAAGAGGCAAGTTAAAAAAAGGAAACAAAATAAAAAAAAAAAAAAAAGGAAAAAGAAGCAGGTTTAGTTTAACACCTTTCTATCTGAAAATAAACCGAGGCATAAGAGGCTGCTTCTGCTGCCAATGTTCATTAAACATCTCTATGACTTGGCAAACTTCTAAGTGGTCATATCTTTCCCTTTATGCTTCCGGGATAGTGAAAAAATCCCCTCTCCCAGTATTGCCCCACAACAGTGTCGGAGACTCCCTAGGACAAGAACTTCATTATTAAATGATTTGACAAGAAATTCCACTGTTGATGTAGAGGATCAGCCCTGAACTCTACAGGAACTGGTGGTGGAATGTACTCCAATTTCATGTGAGTAACTCCAGAAATGCACAAAGTAAAAATGCAGAGCTAACAGCACTATACAGTTGAGCAGGACAGGACTGAAACGACAGTGACAAGAACATTCAACAAATTTTGAAGTTATTTTTTAAAACTTAAGAAATTAATCTTCTAAGGCACTGGCAGTCTTTCCTACGTAGAATAACTGAATAAACAAGATAAAATCAAATTATTTTTTTTTCCAGTTTAAACAATGAAATTAAAATTTACATTTCCAAACACAGAGAAGCTCTTTTCACATTGTACTTTGTTATTGTTAGTGTACTGTTCACTTGTTTGGCTTTATTTTAACTTTAAATGAAACAATGACACCAAAATCTTTGCTGCAAGGTTTGTTTTCATATATTTTCAATTTCGAGGTCTATGGGACACATACTTTTTTTCTATTTTCCTCTGTATCACTGCATTGCCATATTTGTAATGCAGAAAGGTTACAAGAAAACTGACACAGCTTTGTAGTTTGGCAGCCAGAAAACTATATCCTAAAGCTTTTCCGCTTATCTTTTCAGGATCTGCCTAGCTTCATCTCCCAAGCACACCCTGTGCCTCCGATCTTCCCTGGATAACAGTGTGAGTATGCGTGTGCATCCCACCTCACCGGTACTATCTATGTAGTTACTCTTATCCCCTGAAGACCTAGTATCATTAAATCTGGCAGAGGATTCACCTGTCTGTGACTCACTGACTAGACAACAGATTATCTTTAAGCAATAATTTACAGACAAACAACATCTCTATAGATCAGCTGCCTGATACGGAGTAGAACTAGTCTTTGTTTCAATCCCTCTGCACATTTTAATTCACCAAGAAAAAAATTAAGAGGTGCCTATTTTGGAGCAAAGGAGACACTGCACGCACCACACTTGCTTGTACCGTGGCCAACGGATCTGATTCAAGATGAGGACACTAGTATATCAGAAACCACATTAACACAAAAAAACAACCCACCCAGACAAAATCTTACACTCCCGTAAGGCAACATCCAGCCATGCAGAACTCTGAGCAGAGATTATACATTCCCTTTTGCACAAACAGTTACTGCTGCCTAAAAAACCTTAGTAATAATAGAGGCATCAACACAAAAAAAGATGCCATTACTTAAGGAAATAAACACCATATCTTTCTCTAGTCAAATCTTGAACGTACCACACAGGAAAAAACAGTAAAATCCCCATTCTTCAGAGGCAGAGCAAAAGCACTGCGTCATTCTGGAGATGCACAGGTGTCCTGGGTTCAGCTACAGCAGTCATTTTCTCCTTCTTAGTAGCTGGTGCAGTGCTGTGTTTTTGACTTTCAGTCTGGGAACAATGCTGATAACACCGATGTTTTTAGTTGTTGCTAAGTAATGTTTACTCTGACCAAGGACTTTCTCAGTCTCATGCTTTGCCAGAGAGGAGGGGAAGCCGGGAGGAAGCAGAGGCAGGACACCTGACCCAAACTGGCCAAAGGGGTATTCCATACCACAGCACGTCATGCCCAGTATAGAAACTGGGGGGAGTTACCCGGAAGGCCCAGATCACTGCTCAGGTCGGGCTGGGTATCGGTCGGCGGGTGGTGAGTGGTTGTGTCCTTTTCCCTTGTTATTCCTCTTATCATTATTATTGGTAGCAGTAGTGGTTTGTATTATACCTTAGTTACTGGAGAGCTGTTATCTCAACCCCTGGGAGTTACATTCCTCCAATTCTCCTCCCCATCCCTCCGGGAGCGGGGGGAGGAAGGAAAAGGGGGGGAGTGAGCGAGCGGCTGCGTGGTTCCAAGTTGCCAGCTGGGCTTAAACCACGACAACAGGGTAAACTCTGATCATCTGATGCTCAGTGCCCCAGCTTTATATTTCATATGCCAGCTTCCCCTAGTCTCCTCTATCCAAAATAAAGTGAGTGATGTCACTGTAATCTTGCGAACCTGAATAAATGCTATCTTTAGCAACATAAACCTTCTAAAGAAATGATGCAAACTAAATTTGATAGATCTTACAGAATCATAGAGTGGTTCGGGTTGGAAGGGACCTGAAAAATCATCTTGTTCCAACCCCCCTGCCATAGGCAGCAACACCTTCCACTAGACCAGGTTGCTCCAAGCCCTGTCCAGCCTGGCCTTGCACACTCCCAGGGATGGGGCATCTGCAGCTTCTGTGGGCAGCCTGCTGTTCCAGTGTCTCATCAACCTCACTGTAAAGAATTTATTCATAATATCTAATCTAAATCTACTCTCTGCCATCTTAGAGCCATTCCCCCTTGAGCCCTTGATTCCCCCTACATGCCCTTGTAAAAAGTCTCTCTCCAGATTTCTTGTAGGTCCCCTTTTAGTATTGGAAGACATTAGAGGGAGAAGCAAAATAGGAATAAATTACATATGAATATTTACTGAAAGTCCAATTTTTTTACTATCTCTGAATTAAATTCAGCTACTTTTTCCTCAATAATACTATCTTGATGGCCAGTTGATGGTTATGTACCCTAGCCTTGGTGTCACTGAACAGCACTTTCCTGTACCACCTCAAAATAATTTCAAAGATCCCATAAATGTTCTTCAGAACTAAGAACTCTAATTGACCCACAAACCACTTTGATCGCTAGACATTTTCACAGGGATACTATATTTTAGTAAAAAATAATGTGGCTTCGTACAGGAACGCTATAGATCAAATTATTTAAATAAGTGTCCAGTAAGTACATGAGTAAGGTTGATTGACACCTTATATTCTTACACATTCAATAAAATGTGTAATTCTTACACATCCAGTAAAAAAATCTCCGCAGCTCAACAGCAGCAGTCGAAGTTGGAATTCAACAAAGATTAAGAAAGGAACAGGAAACATAAACATTACCATGTCACAGCATTATTCTGCCACACACCCACAGTCCTGTAAACTGCCTGCTGTTCACTGAAAACATAGTGGGCAAACAGTTATCTCAGAGTAATAAAAGATACCACAAAAGTCAATGTGGATGATCAACAGTGTTTATATGCAATTGGCTAAAACACTTCAGTTTTTAGTGAGAGTGAGTGCACAAGAGAGAAGTGATAAAGATGTAGGAGACTAATATAAGATATGCAAAATATAAAAAGAGAGATGACTATTCTCTGTCTTGCAAACACCAGAACTGGAAAATATATCTAATATCTGAAAAATTCAGTTTAGAATTAAAAAAAAAAAATAAAGAAATAAAAATCTTTTCCCTTGCTCTACAAACCTTGTTGTAACTAAGTTGTGAAACATATTGCTAGAGGATATTGTGAAGGCTAAAGCACAAATGGACTCAAAAGATTAAACAGGAGTCCGGTACAGAACTCCATTAGCTTCTATTAAGCATAATGACCTATTTTTTCACAACCTTGTTCTCAGGAAAACCTAAACCATTTCCTACCAGCAGCAAAGAAATTACCAGGAAGGAAAAAAACCCCAACAAATAAACCCAGTCTACATTTAGCCTCTTTTATATTCCTAAACTTCCATCACTGATGACTAGAAGGCACAGTCCAGTGAAATACTCCTATGAACCAGGTATATTCCACAGCAGCAACTGCATCCAGGATGCCAGATTTTCGGTCATTGCAAAACTCAAGACATACAAACAACGCATGAAAAAATGAACCATTTTATGGTTCACCTGGTTTACTCATTCCCAGTGTTTGTGAACTTGATACAGATACCTGTATTGACAACACAATCTGAAGTACAAAAGCCATCAGTAACTACCCTGCAAAAGACAAGACTGAGGCCTTTCACTTTTGCTGATGTTAGGACA